GCACTTGGTTTGTAACAATGTCAGATATAGCACTTGGTTTGTAACAATGTCAGATATAGCACTTGGTTTGTAACAATGTCAGATATAACAGTGGATCACTTTGTACATTCAATAGAGAGGCTGCATTGTCTTTAGTCCTTTAATGGAGAATAATGTCATTTGTATCCCTCAAATCTTATTGGTTGTTTGGCGTGACCCTGCAGTACGGTCATTACAGCAGTTATTTTACCACATACGTACAAGTTGATTTTACGATACGCCCATCACATCCGTTCAGAGTTTTCCTTCCTTTTCTTAGTACAACATACAGTATCTCATCGCACGTGCAAGCCCAATGGGAGATCGAGTATGACATCACAGCTATTTGTTATCCCTGACAAGTTCTATTCTTCAGACGACTGGACGATAATGATAAGGTCTCCGTTCAGGGAGAGGAGGGGGTCTCAGGTGTTTATGTATGCATAATTTTACCATCTATATCTGTCAGCTTGTACCATTTGTCAGTGAATTTGACGAGTTGTTTTCTAAACAATTTTATTTTTCTTTCAAAAAAAAACAAAAACAAAAACGTTTCAACGGAATATGACCACACGATTACTCTTAGGTACAATCTTATACTGAAAAGGGCAAAATCACGGGAATTACCGCCTGTCGTCATAGTGACTTTTAATGCTGAAACTTGCAAGTGTCCGTTTCTTCACTAACGTATTTTAGTCGTCAGTTGCGGCCAACTTCTTCTTTAGATGATCGCGTGGAATGTGTATTTCGAAAGAGTTTGATCTTTAAGGGCGCTTCTCTACAGGATAGATTTCTGTGCCTATGAAGTGCCCCTGTTGTTACTAATTTTTTCAATCCGAGGAACTCCGATGGTCCAGGTTCTACACCTCATTTCAGGCTTCTCCAGGGTAGCCTTCTCGCAGATCTCAGACAGACCAGAGTAGACGGGTCACGTCGCTAAGCCTTGTTTCACGCTGTTCCTTATCACCGCTTCTCCAACTAGATCCTTCTACAGATTAACTTTAGCTGAGAAATCGTTACTGGAGTGACATTGAACGATTTGTATTAAATCAATAAAAGTTTGTGGAAAAAAAAAAACGGTTTGAAATCTTCACGGAAAGACTTCGCTGTACATACAAACTGCTACTCTAGAACGACGCTACTAAGTTTTTTTTAGCCTGTTTATTTGTCATAAGCACTAAGATACAGAATGGGCTATCTGTGCTCTGTTCAAAGCGGGTATCGAAACCCGAATTTTTGCGTTTTAAAACTATTTATTTACCACCGAGCCACCTGGAGGAGTTTGTTTTATTTAGAAGTCAAGCTCGAAATGCAGGGTAATGTTTTTTTGTTTTTTTTTCTAATCTTAGAGGTATTTTCCACTGTTTTCAAGTTCTTGTATGGTGTTTAAAAAACTCAGGCGTGTAATCAGTATAACTTAAAAAACCTTCTATCAATCAATCTATCTATCTATCTGCACTTAAGTATACGTAGTGATAATGTAAATTGATATACAATTTTGAAATTAATCCTGTCTGAAAAGTCTGGAACCATAGGTGATTTACAGCTTTTCTTAATTTCAGACACACTGATTATGATTCTGTCAAAGCACGAGAAGGTTGAGTTAATCCTGCTGTTAATTCAAACTTGTTTCGAGTTACAAGGACATCACGTGGAAAAAATATTCTGTAAAATTCGTTGAGGTGCCTATGGTTACAGACTTTCAGACACTCTGTACACTGACATCTTTGTCTAACGAAAACGCATCTGCAATGAACAGGTGTGGAAGTGTGAAGGTTTTCCTTCACATTTTCACCTAATACCTTGATATACAGACAATTGAAAGCTCCTTTATCAAGTTATGTAGGAGTATGTTTACTTTTGGTTATTCAATCTTGTCACTAGATTGAATTGTTTTATAACTCACAAAAAAGTGAAAGGCATAAGAACTACCGATAATGATATTCTGATCTTACTTGTAAAGAAATATTAGTTTGAGGTGTTGCCGGTGTAACAGAGTGTATTCAAAGGTTGATCATCTAATACCAATTTAAATTTCAGTCCATATTGCTTAGTTTCTTTTGATATCGTTAGTGAACCATCGAATACAGTAGATCAGCTTATAGTTCAATTTTATGAGTCCATTTTGGTTTTGGTTTTTATTTTCTATCGCTGGAGCAGGACAATTTAAATTTCAGTCCATTGAGTCCATATTGCTTAGTTTCTTTTGATATCGTTAATCAACCATCAAATACAGTAGGGCCCGGCATGGTCAGGTGGATAGAGTGCTCGACTCGCAATCTGAGTTTCGCGAGTTCGAATTCCCATCCCACCAAACATGCTCGCCCTTTCAGCCGTGGGTGCGTTATTATGTGACGGTCAATCCCACTAGTTGGTGGTGGGTGGTGATGACTAGCTGCTTTCCCTCTAGTCTTACATCCCCTAATTTAAGGGACGGCTAGCGCAGATAGCCCTCGTGTAGCTTTGCGCGAAATTCAAAAAAACAACAAACAAACTATCGATGTAACTAAAAAGTACATATAAATAAAATTATTCGTTATTGACTATAGATGGTGCTTTTCCGAACCATTTACTAATAAACGTAGAGCAATAATGTTTACCGAAATCGCCATGTTTTTCCCAAGACTCGCCCATTCCAAATTAAGACTAAATGTTTTAATATAAAAT